CATTGAAGTAATCTGCCACATCATTTACTTCATCCAAGTGCTTATAGGCGTCTTCATGATCTCTCCCGTGAAAAGGGATCTCCTTGAGTTGAGCGAGAATATGGCCCTTTAGTTCAAAAGTAGCGGTTAGCGGGAATTGCGGGTTGCACAAGTCCCGGGCCGGTGTCATCACGCATCCTCTTCTTCCATTCCCCCATGGGGATTTCGTCAATATTAGCCATAGCGGTGGCTAAATCGTCTTCAAACTCGGATGTGTGCTCGTGTGTGGGCTCGTTTTCTTCCTCGGTCTCGTAGTCGGTGTCTTTTTGGATCGGGTCTTCGATTGTCAATGATGCACTGGATGCTCCTGATTTGCTGCTCCTTTTCTTGCTAAAAACGGATTTGAGGTTTTTGAGTGGTGAGTTCTTTGAAGAAGCGGTTTCTCCAACGGTTTTGCCTTTGTTTTTCTTAATGCGGTTTCCGGATCTTCAAGAGGGGGAACCAGAGGCGTATCAGATCCTCGGGTCATGAACCAACTGCAAACAAAACAAAAAACGCGTAAAAAGAACAAAAGAAAATTAAATCTGATTCAGCGTCGTACTCGCCGAGTCTGGGCGAATGCACTCGGCGAGTCCAAGTTAAAATCAGGGTTTTTTTTTTTTTTGTTTTTTTTTTACCTAAAAAACAGAAATTAACTTTGTGTAAGATGAATCTTACACAAAGGATCGATTGAATTAGAATTTTAATGCTAATTTTTGAACCGTTCCCCGGCAACGGCGCCAAAAACTTGATGTGTGTAAAACTCACTTAGTTTTAATCCTACTTTAATTATCAAATAACACACAAAAGGCAGTGAACCTATCAATTGTGGTATAGCTAAATAAGCAGGGTATCGAACACAGGGAACGAAAAATTAAATTAAAAACTAATTCTATCTCAGTTGATTAAGAAATAAGGGTTTTTCTCTAGTTTTACAAGACTAGAAACTTACTAACTATAACTAATTTAAGACTAGAAAATAACAATTTAACTAGATTCAATAATTGGAAAGGAACTTCTGTTTAGTTCAACTCGGTTAACTCTATGGTTGATTTCAAGGTAATAGTGCAATGGATTAATTCTTTCGTTGGTTACCGATTCAAGTGATTAGGTTCATGTTCACTACCCTAATCCTTAGCAAATAAACTAACTAAACAGTGGCCAATTGCTTAATTTAATTATATTTACTAGATTAATTATTCGGGTTAAGTTAGACTTGCAATAGCTAATTAATTTATTATTCTTAATTAACCTCTTGTTTGATGGTCATCTTACAAGCTTGCACATGAATTTACTCAATTTCCTTATTAATTCTAGTTTCATATTCATTAATCCTAGACATATGGTATAGTGGTCACATATCATATGAGGTCAATAATCAATAGATGTTCATGCTAATCAATTATCTTCCTATTAACAGAAAATTAATTATTATTCATACACAAGGTTCTTTAGCAAGCTAAAATAACAAAAATTCACCAACTTGGAATTAATCCTACCAATCAATCAAACCATATTGTCAACTTTGTATCCCCAAACAGAAGTCTAAAGATTTTAGTTCATAATTAAAGTAAATAACAAGAAACAAACAAGTTCAAGTTGCTTAATCATATCGACAAAACAAAAGAATAAGTAGAATGATGAAATTGTGCCTTAATTACTTCCGGAATTGAATTCTAGCTTTCTTTGTCGACTTCTAGGGTTCTTCTGGCTTCTTTATCGCAGCAAAGCACTTCTGAAACTTCCCAGAATTCTCCCTTATCGATCTGTGGAGTTATCTTTAAATAAGCGATCCGACTCGTCGAGTCAAGTGGTGACTCGTCGAGTTCCTCTCACATTCTCCGTATTGCGATAACTATCTGGAATTCCGAATCATTATCCTTCTGATTCCTCGACCGGACTCGTCGAGTCCAGGCTCGACTCGCCGAGTAGAAGCCTTTTTTAGGTGTTTTTCTTCTTCATTCCACTCTGGAGCTCCTAACCGCTTCTCCAGCTTCCTTTTGCTTCCGAGCTTTATCTTTGGACTGAAAAACATAATTTAACACTTTTAAGTACCTTTTGTCCATAATATGCGATAATTTAGCTAATATATGAATAAAAAACTATACTAAATACACACTAAATATGCACATATCAGTTAACATAATGTAGTTGGGTTGATGCAGTCCTTCTTTGTGCTGAAGACCAAGATACCTGGTGGGTGGGGGTCCAACTGATATTGTAGGTCCAATGGAGTAGTCCAACTTATGTTGAAGGTGTAGGAGCGGTCCATCTTATTTTTGAAGGCTCGGGTGATAATCCAGCCTTGTGTTACAAGTTTTCTGCCCATGCTTGTATATGTATTGTTGTGTGGGGTATTTTGGGGGAACTTACTAACATTTGGCTTATAGTTGTTGGTTTTCATGTTTCAAGTACATCGATGATATGCAAAAGGTGAAGGCGTGATCATACACATCCTCCTACTGATATATCTTTTGAGTGATTTTGTTACTCTGATTTTATGGATTTAACTTGGAAACAATGTTTCAACTTATGGTCTAGTGGGCATGTTTTATAAAAATGAAAAAAATATGGTTTTGGGGATGTTACAAGTTGGTATCAGAGCCTTGCTATAAGAGAATTAGATAAACACTTGTGTGATTCAAGACTCAAACTATGGAACTATAAAATATTTCACGATTAAATATAAAATAATCAAAGGAGGTGATGTGATGTGTACAATCATATGGACCCAAGGAAGGTTATTCCCCAAGATACCTACACTTATTTATGTATATTGATGATGTGTTAGAATTGCATGCTAGTTGTAGGCTAGGGATCTTCAGGAATTGCATTCTAGAATTGTCTGATTTTTTATATGCTATAGAAACTCACATTATTACTATGGTTTCTTATTGTATGCATCATAGTTATACATAAATAAGATTTTATAGCTTGGGAACATTTGATTTAGCTTATTTCCTCTTCCTAGTTTGGCAGTGGGCTTATGGTAGAATCTGTAATACCCATAAAATTTAAGCCAATTTAAAACTTTTTAAAACATTCATAACCAATAAGTTATTACAATTTATTTTCCAAATAGTTTAATCATCAGAGTATCCCCATAATCAAATCATAAATCATGAGATATGAGGAGCTATACTCGCAGGGCCTACAGCCTATCTGGACCACTCGTTGGGTATGTTGGCCTATAGCACAAAGAAGGACCACAACCCAACTCCCAATCAAACAAACATGTGAACATAAATATCATACGCTAGCATACATATATAACAATCAATCCAATCTAATAGATCATATGGCATAGCAACATCCTATAACCAGGATACCGACCTAACTAGGTCACTAAGCATAAACATAACCTCATCCTAACTACCAGGATGCAGATCTAACAGATCAATAAGCATAGTGTCATCATATCTACTAGGAGGCAGAACTAACAAATCACTAATCCTATCAAACAGTATGCATAATGAGCCTTCATCCGGACTGGACCGCCTCGTAGGCCTTCAGCCTATCTGGGCCTCCCTGGGTATGTTGGCCTTCAACATAAAGCAGTACCACCTCAACCCAAACATACACATACATATGCTGACATACTCATAACACATAATCAATCAACAGGAAGCACATATCATACAGATCATAACAACATACTATAAATACGATGTAATTAATAAACATATCATGCCATAACTAGATACAATCCATAAGGCCCGACCTTGGTGCCTTAGATCCTATTGCTATAGTAATGATAATTCACCTAACACTACTGAAGTCCAGTGGATGAAACTCCAACTGCTGGTTTACAGATTCCCGAACTACCAACATCAAACAACACCTAATTAATAATTGGGTTCCAAGCCCGAGATCGAACTCACACTCCAAAGGACCAAAAGACAAGTAATGGGCCAAAGCCCAGCATATGGCCTAATTTTCCAAATTGGGCCCAAACCTTACATGATCATAATTAAAGGCCCAACTACTTAGTCTAGTCGAAACATTTGGCATTTCCAATGGCCCAATATCATATAATCACCATGGCCCAAAAGTATGGCCCATCTACGACCTAATTTTCCAAATTGGGCCAAAACCCTCATATTGGCCTTACGCTAAAGCCCATTAACTTATTCTAGTCCATTTGCTTGTTCTTGGATGGCCCATTAATAACCCAATTACCAAAGCCAAATAGAAAGACCCAAATAAAGGCCCAAGTGAGATTAGGGTTACGTGTTCCTACTTAACCCATTAAGGGCTTAGTCCATTAAGGACTTAATCCATTAAGTCCATTATTGCCTTAGGTTAATTTACCAATGATTATAATTCCATATTTTAAGTTTAATAATTAATTCTGATGCGGTCCCGATAAGTCCCAAATTAGGGTTTCATGTCATTAGGGTTTTCCAAACCCTAATTAGGGTTTCCAACCCATCTTAGCCCAATAGGCCCAAAACCAAGTTCTTAAGCCCATTAAGGTTTCCTAGGCCCATTAGGGCTTCATTGTTCCCATTAGGGCTTCAAGCATCCCAACAAAATCAAACATGCAAGGCAAAGCAAACCGCCACCTGACACGGCGGCAGGAGGCGGCAGCCACCAGCTCACGGTGGTGGTTATGGATTTTCTATTATTATTCTTTTGGCTTTTTTAGGATTTTTACAATGAACAATCAAAATAAACACATACACACTACACTAAAATAAACATACACACACGCAACCACCCTTATGGTGGCCGGCGGTGGCACCTGGAGGCAGCCACCACCTCACGGTGGTGGTGGTGGTGGTGGCCTTTCTTGTGATTTTCGGCCAAACAACCCACACACAACACTTTCTCACAGCAGCAATACAAATACGTACAAAAACACGCACACATCCAGCTCCAACGGTGGCTAGTGGCGGCTATAAAACGGGGGGGGGTGGGGTAACATGGCAGTAACAGATCTAGCAGCGACGGTGGTGGCTAAAAGCGGCTGAACTCTCCCCATGTCGATGGCTACCTCGAACGATAGCAACAACAGCAGAGGAACGGAGCTGCTGGGTGTCCTCATCTCCAACAGCAGCACCTGCGACGTTAATGACTAGTGGTTTCGACCTCCACAACAGAGTTGGCGGCTCCAATCATCTCTCTCGATTGTCCCCGACGTCCGGCAGCAAGATGGACACGAGATGGCTATCATTGACAACGAAACAGCAACAACGATGATTTCTTTGATTCCTGCACAAGCATCCATAGGGAAATGGTGACAACGACACCTCCCGGTGGTTTTTCGGCCACACACGACGTCCAGCGATGTAGCAATGGCGATTTTTCAATGGCAGAATTGGCAGGTGACATGGTGGCGATACAGCGGCGCTACCGGTGGCGATCAATCTTGACAGAGCAACTAGGGAAAGAGAAGGAGAATAAGGGGACCTTCATGTGGTCGCTTGAGGCCGCCGCTAATCGGAACAAGGTGGAGTTTGGGTGATGACGGCGCCGGAGACGAAGGGGGGTATAAGGTAGTGGCGGCTGGACGTGTTTAGGGTTAGGGTTTGTGGGTGATGGGAATAGCACATTTAAATACCCCTCCCCATATGAATGTATCCCATGATTACCAAAATGGCCCCTCCTTCCCATACTTCTTTCAAAATAAATCCAATAATTTTCATTTAACCCCTCCTTTAGAAAATCATTACAATTCAAGTCCCGAAATTACCAATCAGCCCCTTAAGCCTTCAATTCCTTTCGCTTTAAGTCCATTAATGACCAAACACACCATTACTTCCAAAATATTTTCAAATTAAATCCGAAACTTCCACTTTAACCCCCAGAGATTCAAATCTCGTCATTTGGCTTCCCGAAACCAACACCCCACTAATTATTATTCGATTTTGGGCTATAATAACATAAAACAATAATAAAATTACTTCTTGGGGTCCCGATTTTATTATTCTAATTATTCTATTTAAAACGGGATGTTACAACTCTCCCCCATTTAAATCGTTTATTATCATTCCTTACACACCAACAACTGGACTACTTGGCTACAAACCTTGAGCAAAACCATAGCCTTTCCAAGGCAACCGTATCCAACCCATGTAGGGTTCTAAAACCTAAAAATATACGAATCCCTTGAAATATGATCACATTTACTAGTTCTAAAACATAAAGTCTCGAGATGGTCTTGCTTCCTGACAGACCTATCATACCAAATCATAATTGTTAAGCACAATCCGCTTGTCTCTCATCTAACTATTCAACTCCTGATATTTGGGGTTCCAATATCTAGATACTTCTCATACGTCTGAAGACCCAATTTGTCAATACCACCCTAAACATAGAAACTGTTTGAACACAGTTCTGCCTGAAGCAGTATGATGCCACATGGTTGCTTTCCAAAATCTATGTAGACCTCCCTGTCTCAATTTGTTCACCAATCATCTGACATACCGGGTTTCAGCCCGATCGCGGAGCTAAAGGACTCCCACATAGTTGCCTCACACCACTTCCGCACGAACTCCTTCCCTGGAACTAGATGCCACTAGTTTTCATGCCACTGCGAGTCTAACAACCTCATGATCCAACTGATCGGATCCATGCGTCGAATCTCGTTGTTACCAAATCCACGACTAAAAGTGATTGCTACATGACCAATGGTAGCCTTACATCACAAACAAAGTTAAGCAATCCATTGCTTCCTTGGTCTTATAATGTAGTGACGTTCCTACAGTATTATGATTGACTTAACCAGATCTAATCCCTATGGGAAACCCAAAAACCAATCTATGGATTTTCATATCCTCACTGCTACACCAGCACTGATGGTTACTAGTATCCCTTCTGCGTCCTAACAACGCGCTCATGCTATCTACCAATCTAGTGAATGTTGCAGCTACACCCACAGACTTACATCACTCCCCATACTACCGGATCACTAGTGAATGCTACGACTACCCCCACAGTCTTACAACACTTCTCGCACTATCCGATCGATAGTGAATGCTATGGCTACCCCCGCAGTCTTACAACACTTCCCATACCGGTCGAACACACGCTCGACCTAACACACAACTGGACTCAATTCATTGCTATAATCCGAACCTGATTCCCCAAATTCTGATATCAGCACCGAGAAGATGCAATTCATATGTTGGGGAGTTTCACCAAACTCCCAACTCACACAACCCTCAAAAAAACAGCCACCCTGGTTATATTTCTCACAACGATGTGAAACTTGTCCCATTTTCTAAACCGCTCATGCTTCTGAATCCCAGAATAACTCTCCCCCACTTAGATTCGACTAAGCCGTCACAATACATGAAATTTGGAGAATTCCTAATTGTCCTCGCTTTCGAACGATCAATCCAATGACAATCCACATTTCCAACAAGTGTTGCATGACCAGCCAATCCCCAGCGACCACTCACTTCTAATAACTAGTTGAACACTTCCTGAATCCCAGTGAAACCGACAGTCTCTAATGCTTGAATGATCCCACACTCAATCTCTTGAAGACCTAAAGATAGATGCTCCAACTAATATCTCAACAACGAGCTACTTCGCTTGGCGCTCTCATCTGTCAGTCATTAACGGTTACCAAAACCACTGATTCCCGATAATGCTGAATAACCATCTTGTGGGGTCCTGTCTGTAGGCCTCCCACATAATACCCTTCTTCCCAAAGTGTTCCCACAATTCTCCCGCTCTCGACTCTAGAAATCATACCATTTAGGGCCTCGCACCCTGACTCACTCACCAGCTTAATCATTCACAGCTGAACTGCAGTAGTTGAAGCAGCCTTTTCCCTAAATCGGGCTACAACTACTCCCAAGACGTAATCTACAATCCCAAAAGTGCAATAAATCACACAATCAATCTTTACTGCCCGATACAAGAGATGGAAGGTGAGCCGAACCTCATAAAATACTTACGCCACATCGACCCACCTGTGCTTACCAGTGCTGAATTACTGTCGCCAATCCCGGCAACCAACTGACCCCGATTTGGAATACAACCTGATCCTGGGGTCACAAGCTTGCTCAATCGTTCGATCTCATAAACTGAAAGAGAACAATCCTTGCCCTAGAAAACAACATCCCACTCCTATCAATTAACCATTTTAATTCCAGCTGCATAACTCCAGCTGAATATAATCATTACTCCTTTCCAGAGTCCCTGCGACTAACATTCTGGCCTCGAGGAAAAACCCTGAAGCCTCAAATCTAGAAACTCATTTGCTAGACTCTCATGTTTAACCTGCGGACTGTAAAAAGTACAAAGCACCTCCCTGATCCTAAGTAATTGCAACCCTCTGCTCATCAGAATATGTACCAATACCAAGTCGCAGTACTGGAAAACTCGACCAGCTCCTCTCTCTGCCGGCGTTACAGCTATTGAAGCTGCTTTGGCAGCCATCTCAGCAATGGCTGCATGTCGCTTGACAAATACTCAACCATCATGGTCTTTAAATACCCCATCATCTCCGGAATCTGTCCCCGAATGATCTCGATCACCTCCTCCCGGTTGATCTCCCTGACACGGTCCTCTGACAATGATGGTCTATCCTGGTTGGCAGCTCCCGATCCTAACCTGGATCCGGTCTATAAATGTCTCGTAACCACCATTATTGTAAGACACCAGAAAGATCTATGATAATCCATATAACGACAGGGGACCAACTACCAACTAAACCCTAGGGATTGTGACTTCCTTGATATACATATGGGCCGTATGCTTTCAGTAGTACGGGCCCATACTAACTTCCACACCTACCTATATTTGTCTCGAGTATCATCACAACACCCTAACAATATACATAATCATAGCGAGCATTCAATCCTCACACCTAGAGGAATGCTAAATATCACATAACTGACCTCCCGACCTCACACAACCCACCCATCCATGAAATTTCCATCAACCCTGTAGCACTAATGTATGCTACCCTTACATAACGCTGGACCTATAGACTTTCGAATATCCAATCCTACCCTAAGCCCTAATCAATAAGAACAGAGCATAAGGCTAAATCAAATATTCTCAGGCTATAAGATCATAATTATATACAGTTGTGATGCATACACAAGCAACTACAGTAATGATGTCAATCTCATATAAGGAAAACCCTAGGCTAGCAGACATCATGTAATCACGCAATTCTCTCATGCAAATCCTGACGATCCCTAGCCTAGTACTAGCATGTTGTTCTAACATATCACAGTATCAATTAACTGTATGATTTTTTGGGGTCTACTTACTGGCTCTGGTTGATCATACACTTCGCATCCTTTTTTACTTATTTTGAAAACCATTTAAAATCATTTTGAAAATCTTTCCTTGATTTGAGACTGGATTCACACGAGTGTTCCTCCTATTCACTCAAATCAAGGCTCTGATACCAACTTGTAACACCCATAAAATTCAAGCCAATTTAAAACTTTTTAAAACATTTAAAACCATTAAGTTATTACAATTTGTTTTCAAAATAGTTTAATCATCAAAGTATCCCCCAAAATCAAATCAGAAATCATGAGATATGAGGAGCTGTACGATCGCACATTCACCTTCCCGCGATCATCAGAAGTACCTAAAACATAATTAACAAATATAAGCTTGAAACTTAGTGAGTTTCCCCAAAATACCAACGCCATACAAATATAACCATATCATATAACAAATACAAAATAACATGTATCACGAGCCTTCAGCCTGACTGGACCGCCTCACAGGGCCTATAACCTATCCGGACCGCTCATCGGGTATGTTGGCCTACAGCACAAAGCAGGACCGCCTCAACCCAACTCCCAATAAAACAAACATGTGAACATAAATATCATATGCTAGCATACATATATAACAATCAAACTGATCTAATAGATCATATAGCATAACAACATCCTATAACTAGGACACCGACCTAACCAGGTCACTAAGCATAAACATAACCTCATCCTAACTACCAGGATGCAGATCTAACAGATTAATAAGCATACTGTCATCCTATCTACCAAGAGCCAGAACTAACAGATCACTAAACCTATCAAACAATATGCATAATGAGCCTTTAGCCTATCTGGACCGCCCTGGGTATGTTGGCCTTCAGCATAAAGCAAGACCACCTCAACCCAAACATACACACACACACACAAACACACACACACACACACACACACACACATATATATATATATATATATATATATATATATATATATATATATATGCCGACATACTCATAAGATATAATCAATCAACAGCAAGCACATATCATACAGATCATAACAACATACTATAACTAGGATGTAATCAATAAACATGTCATGCCATAACCAGATACAATCCATAAGGCCCGACCTTGGTGCCTTAGACCCTATTGATATAGTAAGGATAACTCACCTGACACTACTGAAGTCCCGTGGATGAAACTCCAACTGCTGGTTTACAGATTCCCGAACTACCAACATCAAACAACACCTAATTAATAATTGGGTTCTAAGCCCAAGATCCAACTCACACTCCAAAGGCCCAAAAGTCAAGTGATGGGCCAAAGCCCCACATATGGCCCAATTTTCCAAATTAGGCCCAAACCTTACATGGTCCTAATTAAAGGCCCAACTACTTAGTCTAGTCCAAACATTTGGCATTTCCAATGGCCCAATATCATATAATCATCATGGCCCAAAAGTATGGCCCATCTACGACCCAATTTTCCAAATTGGGCCAAAACCCTCATATTGGCCTTACGCTAAAGCCCATTAACTTATTCTAGTCCATTTGCTTGTTCTTGGATGGCCCATTAATAACCCAATTACCAAATCCAAATAGAAAGACCCAAATAAAAGCCCAAGTGAGATTAGGGTTAAGTGTTCCTACTTAACCCATTAAGGGCTTAGTCCATTAAGGACTTAATCCATTAAGTCCATTATTGCCTTAGGTTAATTTACCAATGGTTATATTCCATATTTTAAGTTTAATAATTAATTCTGATGCGGTCCCGATAAGTCCCAAATTAGGGTTTCATGTCATTAGGGTTTTCCAAACCCTAATTAATGTTTCCAACCTATCTTAGCCCAATAGGCCCAAAACCAAGTTCTTAATCCCATTAAGGTTTCCTAGGCCCATTAGGGCTTCAAGCATCCCAACCAAATCAAACATGCAAGGCAAAGCAGACCGCCACCCGACTCGGCGGCAGGGGGTGACAGCCACCACCTCACAGTGGTGTTTATGGATATTCTATTATTATTCTTTTGGATTTTTTAGGATTTTTACAATGAACAATCAAAATAAACACACACTACACTAAAATAAACACACACACACACAAGAAACCACCCTTATGGTGGCCGGTGGTGGCACCTAGAGGCAGCCACCACCTCACGGTGGTGGTGGTGGTGGTGGCCTTTCTTTTGATTTCCGGTCAAACAACCCACACACAACACCTTCTCACAGCAGCAATACACACACATGTACCAAAACACGCACACAGCCACCTCCCACGATGGCTGGTGGCGGCTACAAAGGGGGGGGGGGGTGGGTAACATGGAGGCAGCAGATCTAACAGCGACAGTGGTGGCTAAAAGCAGCGAAACTCTCCCCATATTGATGGCTACTTCGAACGATAGCAACAACCGTGGAGGAACGGACCCGCTATTTGTCCTCGTCTCCAACAATAGCACCTGCGGCGACAATGGCTAGTGGTTTCGACCTCTACAATGGAGTTAGCAACTCCAATCATCTCTCTCGATCATCCCCGACATCCAGCAGCAAGATGGATACGAGATGGATGCCATTGACAATGGAGCAGTAGCAACGATGATTTCTTTGATTCCCAGACAATCAGCGACAGGGAAATGGCGACAACGTTACCTCTTGTTGGTTTTCCGGTCACACACGTCATCCAGCGACGTAGCGATGGCGGTGTTTCGATGGAAGGATCGGCAGGTGACACGTTGGCGACACAGCGACGCTATCGGTGGCGATCGATGTTGAAAAAACAACAGGGGATAGAGAAGGAGAAGAAGGTGAACTTCATGTGGTCGCTTGAGGGCACCGTTGATCAGAACAAGGTGGAGTTTGGGTGATGACGGCGCCGGAGACGAAGGGGGGTATAAGGTAGTGGCGGTCGGACGTGTTTAGGGTTAGGGTTTGTTGATGACGGGAATAGCACAGTTAAATACCCTGCCCCATATTAATGTATCCCATAATGACCAAAATGGCCCCTCCTTCCCATACTTCTTTCAAAATAAATCCAATACTTACCATTTAACCCCTCCTTCAGAAAATCCTTACAACTCAAGTCCCAAAATTACCAATCAACCCCTTAAGCCTTCAATTCCTTTCAGTTTAAGTCCATTAATTACCAAACACACCATGAATTCTAAAATATTTTTAAATTAAATCAAAGACTTCCACTTTAACCCCTAGAGATTCAAATCTCGTCATTTGGCTTCCCGAAACCAACACCCCAATAATTATTATTCGATTTTGGGCTATAATAACATAAAATAATAATAAAGTTACTTCCCGGGGTCCCGAGTTTATTCTTCTAATTATTCTATTTAAAATGGGATGTTACAGTAGAATCAATTATTCGATTGGCAATCGAATAAAGTGTTTTGTATGTTTAGTATATACAAGGCGGTTGTAGGGTTAATGGATGTTTTGTGAGTTGGTTTGGTTAGTAGATGGACAACGTATGGAGAGATTAGCTACTCTTAAGAGAGTGAGTATAGGATGTATGTGTATCCTAGTTTCTTGGGCTTTGTGATCGAGAGGTCTTTGACGATCCTTGAGACAAATACGGGAGGTGTGAGAGGTAGTATGGTCCCATACTACTGAAAGCACATGACCCTTTCGCGTAAGAAAAATATGGGAGGTGTTAATCGGGACTTTAACAACACGAAGCCACTAAATTTCAACAGTTCAAGGACCCCGATCATTGAAATGAGGTGGATATCTTATGTGGAGGGTTGTTTCTTCACATGTTTGTGCCCAAAGGACATGAAGTTTAATTTCTCCTTGAACCTTCTTTGTTTAGGGGAAAAGGATTGGTGGAAGTTAGTGATCGGTTCTTATTCTCCTGCGGAGAAGGATATGGTAACTTAGGATCAATTCACTGATATGTTCCATGCTAAGTAAGTCCCACTGGTGGAGCGAGTGAGGTTAGCCTAGGAGGACCTGTTGCTGAAGCAGACGACATAGTTAGCGACAAATATCACTAAAATGTTTACTTAGAGTACCCTTTTCTACCCCGAGTATGCTACTTCAGAGCATGTTTAAATGTATCGCTACTTGAGAATTCTCAAGACGGAGATCCATGACTTTGGGTTGACCCAGAGATATAGTTCTCTCTCCGAGATGAAGTCTTTCACTATGATGAGATAATTGAGATCGAGATCCAAACTAGAGAGAATAGGCAGACCCCAGCTCAGACTCAGCCGGCAGCGAAGTAGTTCAAGCCCATTGACTCACGATATAGAGGCTAGAGGGTTCGTACTTGTGGCAAGTGTGGGAAGATGCATGAGGGAGCATTTTGATCATGTTCTTGGTGCCACAAATATGGCAAATAGGGTCGTTATGCCAGATATTGTCATCGGTAGGATCCACTACCGAGTACCAGGATTTGTTATCACTATGATCAGGTTGGCCATGTGAAGATCAACTATCCCTTGCTCACTGCTAGATCAATGCAAGCCCCGACTCTGACCAATTAATCCCATCACAAACGGATACTAGGGGAGAGTTGAGGCCCTAAAGTCTAGGGGTCGTGCTTTTCACCTCAATACAAAGGAGGCCAGAGCAATGCTCGACTTTGTTACTAGTATGTATTCATTTATTATTTTGTTAAGTTATTTCCTATATGTTTATGCTTGTATTTCTGATAGGTATCTTCTTAGTAAATTCCTTGCCTGCTCTTGCGCTTTTTAACTCGGGTGTTAGTCGGTCTTTCGTATCTTAGTCCTTCTGTACAAATTTCAATATGATCCTTAAGGAGTTCAAGTGTCTGTTGTGAGTTTCCATTGCCAACGAACACAAGGTTTCTGCCTCTAGTGTGTTTTGTGATTGAACTGTGGAGATCTTTCGGGTGTCCTATAGGATTGACTTGATTCCCATCCTGATAGGGGATGTATGTGGATATTAGGGAATGACTGGTTGAGCTGGTTTGGAGCCATGATTGATTATGAGAGGCAGCTAGCGGTAGTTCGAACCCCAAGTGGGGGAGAACTGACCATTTATGGCGAGGGTACCATGGTTGGATCAACTTTTTGTTTGGCTGCTAGGGGTAGGCAGTACATCCAAAATGGATGCTTGGGACTTCTTGTGTATGTGCTCGACACTTAAGTTGAGGGGGGTGGGCGGTTCAGTTTCATATGTGCTAGTGGTCAGAGAGTTTCCAGGTGTTTACCTAGAGGATTAACTTGGTGTTCCCCCCTTGAGGTAGATGGAGTTCAGGATCGATTTAATTCCTGGTACGACCCTGATTGCTAAGTCGTTGTATCTCCTCACACCACCAGAGATGTAGGAGTTTTCCTCTCAATTTTAGGAGCTATTGGGCAAGTAGTTTATCTGACCAAATATTTCACCCTGGGAGCATCGATTTTATTTGTGAAGAAGAATGACGGGTCTCAACATATGTGCATATAGTATCGGGAATTGAACAAATTGACGTGAAGAATTGTTACCCACTTCTTTGGATTGATGATCTCTTTGATCAGTTGCAAGGTGCATCTTGGTTCTCCAAGATTAACCTGAGGTCGACGGACCATCAAATTATGACTAAATAGTAGGATGTGGATAAAACAACGTTTCGAGCACGTTATGGTCATTATGAGTTTGTTGTGATGCCGATTGGGCTCACAAATGCACCGACAATGTTTATGGATTTGATGAACCGCGTATGTAGGCTGATGCTCAACCGATTGGTTATTGTTTTTATTGATCATATTTTGGTCTACTCCAAGACCGGGGAGCAACATGAGGAGCATCTACTGGAGTTGCTTCGAGTACTGAGGCGGGAGAGGTTGTAATGTAAGTTCTCCAAGTGTGAGTTTTAGTTATGAGAAGTCCAATTATCGGGGCACCTCGTCAATCAAAATGGGATTCTGGTCGACCCGGACAACATTGAGGTGGTTATGTAGTAGGAGGTTCCGAGATCCCCATCTAAGATTAGGAGTTTTCTAGGGTTGGATGGTTACCATCGTAGATTCATTCAGGATTTCTCCAAGATTGTTATTCCTCTTACTCGTCTGACGAAGAAGATCGTGGATTTCCATTGGTGGCTAGAGCAGCAGGCCGTATTCGAGACGTTGAGACGAAAGTTATGTATGGCCCCAATATTGACACTTCTGGGGGGTGTTGAGGATTTCGTGGTACTTTGTGATGATTCGATCATGAGTTTAGGGTGGTACTCATGCAGGAAGGTAGGGTTATTTCATATGCATCCAGTCAGTTGAAGCCTCATGAGGTTAGATACCCAACATATGATCTGGAGTTGGGGGTAGTAGTGTTTGCCCTTAAGATTTGGTGACATTAGCTTTATGGGATATGTTTTATCATTTACACGGATCATAAGAGCTTGAGATATCTTATGGATTAACTGAATCTGAACATGAGGCGGCATAGATGGCTACATTTAGTCAATGATTATGATTGTGAGATTCTTTATCATTCGGGGAAGGCCAATGTGGTCTCCGATGCCCTTGAGCCACAAGGCGATTAGCACTCTTGATCGAGGGTTCTGTTTTAGGATGACCATTTACTCACCACTTATGGATTTGATCAAGGAGGCTCAGGTCAAGGAAATCAGGATGTATAATTGGAAGAAGGAAAAGATTGGGGGGTTATATTGGTAGGTTTGCCACCAATAGTCGCAGGATTTTGACCCAGTGTGGTCTGGTTTGGGTCCCAGTTTCTGGCGGGTTCCACCAAATAGTGATGAAGGAGGCACACAATTCCAGGTTCTCGATCCACACTAGATCCACAAAGATGTATCAGGACTTGAGACTTAGTTATTGGTGGCTATGCATGAAGCGGGAGATAGCATGGTATGCAGAAAGATGCTTGACATGTTGGATGGTCAAGGCTGAGCAGCAGAGGCTTAATGAAAAGTTGTAGACCTTAGATTTTCCCATGATGAAATGGGAACAAATCATTATGGATTTCATTACCATGCTGCCAAGGAAGGCGAAGGGATTCGATGATATTTAGGTCGTTGTCGATCGTCTGCCAAAGAGTGCCCATTTTCTTGCCATTTGGGAGAGTTCTTCATCCAAGAAATTGGCCAATGTGTATGTGCATGAGATTTTTGCTTGCCATGGTGTGCCGGTTTCTACATATTTGATCGTGACGCACGGTTTACTTCTTGGTTTTCGCAAAAATGTCATGAGTATTTGGGTACGAGACTACACTTCAACACTGCTTATCACCCTTAGACTAATGGTCAAAGTGACCAAACTATTCAGACACTTGATGATATGTTGAGGGCATGTGTCATTGATTTTAGTAGGAGTTGGGACGCCTACCTTCCCCTAGCAGAGTTTTCATACAACAATAGATAACATTATAGCATTGGGGTACCATCGTATAAGCTGTTATGTGGGAGGAAGTCTCGTACTCCAGTTTTTTGGAGGGCCTGTCGACCACAGGGTCATGGGGAGGATTGAAGTTGGTCCTCCAGACGACGAAGTATATCCAACAGATCAAGTAGAGGTTACATACATGTCAAAGTCAGCAAAAGAATTTTGTTAATAGACGATAGTCCGAGATGGAGTTTCTGGTTGGGGATATAGTATTACTGAAGGTATCACCCTGGAAGGGTGTTATATGCTTCTGGAATAGGGGAAAGTTAGGCACCCCGATTTATCGTACCTTTTTAAGTAGTGGCAAAGGTAGACATGGTGACCTATCGATTAGATCTATCTAAGGAGCTTATTCAGATTCATAGCACCTTCCATATTTCACAGGTTCAAAAGTGTGTGGTTAATGATTCAGTGGTGGTTCTGCTAGATGACATTCAGGTTGATGACCGCCTGCATTATATTAAACAACCGCTAGCCATTATCTACAGGAATACGAAGACCTT